CCTGCTTCAAGTGGTACACCAGCCCGTGGTCGGAGGTGAGCGCCCGGCCGGCCCCTCCGGGCCACCTGAGGCCGGAACCGGAGTCCTGGTTGCCAGGCGCCTCGAGCCCTGCCCCAGATGCTCCCCACTCCCTGCCCCTGTCTCCCCCGTGTGTCCTTAGCAACAGCGCCCCCAGCCCCGGGCCCCTTGTGCTCTCTCCACCTAGTGATGCCACCAGCTTTCAAGAGGTGGTGGACAGGAGGCCCAGAGTGGTCTTTGAGCACCACTGATGGGGAGGGCGTGGAGAACAGGAGCCCCAGGGCCACTGTCGCCGTGGCCAGGCTGCGAGACCTGGGGTCTCCAGTGCCCCCGGCCTCAGAGTCCCCATGGGCCAGCTCTGAGCACTAGGGGCGATGGCGCAGGGGCGTCACAGGGAATGGGGCCCTGGACGTTCCAGCGGGATGTGGTCTCAGACCCACATACCCGAGTGTCTGTGGTCTTGGATGGTGGACGGCAAATCTCCAAACCTTAGTGTTCAAGGTGAAGATTCTTAGAGTCTGTAAGGCAGGGGTTAGTCTGTGGATTCCATGAGTGTCGCCTGCACTCAGCGGTGAGCGGCCAGGACCTCTGCCCCCGACCCAGGCTCAGGGTTCTCGACGGAGAGACTCAAGGAGGTGTCTGGACGCAACCCTTGCCCCAGACCTCGCCCCAGATGGGACCTCAGCCTCCTACCGCACACATGCTTCATTCTGTGTCATCCACCTGGGAAGGAGGAGGGAGACTGGGTGGGGTGGGGGCTTCTGGACGAGGCGTGGGCAGGGCCAGCGCCTGAAGGATGGAGAAGAGGCCCCTGGGGGTCAGGCGGGTCTAGTGGCTGCGGGGAGCAGAGCGAGTCATATCGGGGGACAGAGCTGGCTGGAGGGGAGGGTGGGGGGGCGGCAGGTGGGGCTGAGAGGCTGGTGAAGTTTGCCTGGGGCTCCAGGCCCCCCAGAGCCACACCAGCGCATGTGCTTCAGAAGGCACTTCCCGCTTCAGAAGACGGGGGCCAGGACCTACTGGGTGCGGGTGCTGTGCTGGGTGCTGGGTGCCAAGCCCTGGAAGGGAGGAGAGCCACAAAGAGGGAGCAGGCCCTGCCCCCAAAATAGCCTGAGAGTATTGTGGGGGAGGGGCGTCTGTGTTGCACTGAGGGCGGAGGGTGGGCGAGGGCTGACTGGCTCAGGGGGGCCACGGTGGGTGTGCGGAGCTTGGGTGTTTGTCCCCCTGGCTGCCCCTCCCTGGGATGCGGGCTCAGTAAGAGCTATCTTATCCAGTCCCCAGAGGGTCCCCTCCGGGGGTGCACAGAGGCTCCTCGGAGCACCCACCCACGGTCGATGGGCCTGTGTGCTCAGTGCCAAGCTGGCTGCCTCTTGCCTCCAGACTGGGCCAGCCCCCCGGGCTGGGAGCGGGTGGGTGGTCCCCCCTGCTAAGTCTTAGTTCAATGGGAAGTGGGCCCAGGGCTGGGGCCTCCCACCCCACCCGGCCTCAGGGACCCAGGGCTCAGGTCCCAGATGGGCCTGGGTGACGTGGGGTCACCCGTGTCGGGGGTGGGGGGAGAGGGAGCCACCGTCTGTAGGATCTTGGCAAGCGGATGACGGGGCAGCTGGGGTCAGTGATGTCCCTGGTGCTCTGGGTAGGTCTGCGGGCTTTTCCAAGGGGGACATCTGGACGGGGGAGCCTCGGGCGGGAGTGTGGCTTTGGAAAAGAGGTGTAACTGGCCGGCAATGTGCTTTCTCACTGGAGAGGGAAGCCAGTGCTGTCCCTCGGCCACGACCCCGTGTGTCCCGAGCGCTCCGTGTCACAGGCCCCAGGAAAGCGGAAACTGAAGGACCCACCCGGAGACCACAGAGAGAGCAGGGGCCGCCCTTCACGGGGCACCCGGGGGAGCTGAGCGGCCCCGGGTGGGGATGAGACCCAGCAGCCGGGCGGGGGGGCGGCCCTCCTCGGGGCTGGAGCCCTGCCCTGTCAGGTGGGGGCTTGGCCATGCTGTCTCTCCCGCCAGTGCACCAAGACCTGCGGGGTGGGCGTGCGGATGCGCGACGTGAAGTGCTACCAGGGGACCGACATTGTCCGTGGCTGCGACCCGCTGGTGAAGCCCGTCGGCAGGCAGGCCTGTGACCTGCTGCCCTGCCCCACAGAGCCCCCAGGTGAGAAGGGGGGCTAACAAAGGTGGGCAGAGCCGGGGGGCTGAGGGAGGAGCAGGTGTCAGCCAAGGGGACCGGGAAGGTCGAGTGGCCTGACGGGGAGCTAGGGTTCCTCTGGGGATGGACGGCCGGACCCGGCTGGGAGGCGAGGGTGGGTGGGGCGGCAGGTGAGGCCTGACTGGGGCCCTGGGAGCCACACCAACACCTGCATCTGGCTTCAGAAGGTGGGGCCGGCTGTGGGCGGGGAGCAGGAATCGGGGTGACTCAGCCTGAACCGGGCACACCGCTCAGGCGCCGGGCACACAGGAGGCGGGGGCGGCCAGGTGGGCCAGACATGGGGCGCCTGCGCCTGGAAGAGGGGTGACGGCTAGACTGAGGGGGCACCGGGGCAGGTGACCAGCCCTGCTTCATACCTGTCCCGTGGAGGGGACCCTTGCGGGCCTCCGGGGTGAGGGCAACAATTCCTGTAAACCCCGGCCCTGGTCTCACCCTTGCTGTCCACTGATCAAACCACTGGGTGAGGGTGGGAGTGGGGGGTGGGGGGTGATGTCCTGGGAAGGGCCAGGGGCAGGAAAGCGGTGGCAGAGAAATAGGGCTGGAGGGCCCGAAGCCGGGTGGGAGGCCCATTGCCCCTGGGCCTGGAAATGGGCATGTAGGGGCCACCTGTCCACAGGTGCTCTGCTGCGGGGGGCCACCCCCGAGGGGGTGGGGCAGGGGCAGGTCCTGTTGGGTTTTACCCCTGGGCCACCTGTGATGCCCTACACCTCCCCCTCCCCCCCCCCCGGCCGTGTCCCTTCCCCAGATGACAGCTGTCAAGACCAGCCAGGCACCAACTGCGCCCTGGCCATCAAGGTGAACCTCTGCGGCCACTGGTACTATAGCAAGGCGTGCTGCCGCTCCTGCAGGCCTCCTCGCTCCTAGGCACCCCTGTCGCCCCTCAGACACCTGAGCGCTCCGCCCCAGGGGCCCCCCGGCTGCCGGGGCCCTTCCGTGGACACCCTTCCCGCAGGGCGCCCGGGCTGTGAAGACGTGACACTGAGCCTCTGCTCTCCCCCGGAGAAGGAGAGCCCCCCGCCCCGCTGCCCCCCCGAGAGCGCCCTGGGCCCCTGCCCCTCCAGGGAAGGCGTTCTCAGGGCTGCAAGGACGGTCGTGTTTGTGGGTCCCACCGGCCAGCCCCCCGCCCCCGCCCAAGGGGCCCGGGAACGTCCTCTCTCCCTCCAGGGCTATCGGGTCGAGGAGGGGCCGGGGGGCTGGGAGGGCCGGGCGCCGCCCGGGACCCGGCTCCCGTTCGGGTGTCCCTTCCAGAGGAATTGTATCTCGCAACTCGCGTCCACTTGCCTCGTTCCACGAAGCTCTCACGCACGGAGGGACCCGCTGCACTTTACGCCCCGGGAGCCCCGGGAGGAGGCACTGTCACGGCGCACTGGGTCGTGGGCGCCAGCCAGTGCTCCTGTACGTTAATAAAGTGGTCGTATTTATGGCGGCATCGTGGGATCGCAGTGGCCTTGGCAGGGTGCGCGGTGGCCGTCGGGCTCTGAGAGCTGGGCTGTCCGGCCCTCGAGTCCAGGAAGACCGGCTGAGGCCTGGGTCCGGGACCGGGCTGGGGGCTTAGGGCCGAGCGGCAGTATCTCCCTGAGGAGGGGACGGCTGGGGAGAAGCAGAGGTGGGGTGCCTGCAGGGGGGACGGGGCAGGGAGCACAGGACTTGGATGTTGTCAGAACTGAGCAAATCCCACGCCTACTGACCTGTGTGGAACCTGGGGAGGGGCTGGGGGCTGAGGGAAGGAAAGGCTGGCCTTGCGATGTGTAGGGGAAGAACCGAGGAAAGAAGGCAGTCAGGGCCGGCCCCACACTGGGGGCTCAGGGAGTACCATCCATCGTTACCGTTTCTGGACCTCCTAGAGGGGCTGCTTAATCTGGACTTGGGGGTGCAGGGCCACTGGAGGGCTTCCTGGAGGAGGTGGTATTTAGGCTGGTCCAGCAGCAGGAGTGGCTCTCCAGCATGAAAGAAGGGGAAGGGCGTGCGGAAGAGGAAGCAGCCAGGGCAGTCTCCAGGGAGAGGGTGGGGACAGGGAAGATGCTGAAAGCCTGCTCTGGCTTCAGTCCGAGGGGTAGGCGTGGGGGACCAGGGTGTCCCCCCACCTCAGGAAGTGAGACTGCCGTGGGCCGAGGGTGCCACAGGGACCATCTTCTTCGGGGACAGGTAGGTAGCAGGGAGGCAGGCGGCCACCAGAGCAGGGTCTGGCACAGTGCTCAGGGCAGCGCTGAGGGGACTCCTCGGTGATGAAGGCCACTGAGGCCACGGGGCGGGCTTGTGTGAGGTCCCCTGCCCCCGGAGAGGCGAGTCACAGTAACCCAGGGGTCTGCCCCGTCCCCATGCACCGTGCTGCTCTGCTCTGGGGTCACCCCTCCCTCCCCGCTGGTCCTCCTTTCGGACCACACTCAGCCCTTCCTGAGCCCCAGGCTCCAGCTCCAGGGCTCCGTCAGCCCCGTGTCACAAGCCTCCGAAGAGTCCCCGAAGTGGGCGTGGCTACCACCCCACTGTGTTGATGCCAACACAGGCCCGGGGACCATCAGACCCCTGTCCCAGGTGACTCGGCCCGTCCCCACCACCGGCTCTCCAGGAGCTCAGCGTTTAGGCCAGTGGCTCCCAGCCGTGGCAGACAGGCCCGGCCACCCTAGATGTGGCCTGTGCTGTGGCTGCCCCCCCCGCCCCCCACCAGATGGGAGAGGAAAGGCAGACCCTGCCCGGCACTGGGCAGGACAGGGTCTCCTCCGAGGAAGTTCCGGGAAGAGGTCTGGGCTGGCTTGGGATTCCAGGCAGACGGAAGGCGGTGGCGGCGACGGTGGTGCTGGAGAGTTTTATTGGCTTTCTCTTTTCTCAGGGAGCATGTAGCTCCCCGCGGGTCCCCACAGGGCAGCTGCGTGAACGCACAGGGATGGGTGCTCGTCTCGTTTTAAGTGGATCTATGGATCTATACAGAGAACAGAGACCAGAGAAGGAAACAGGAAACCGGAACAGAACAGCTACAGGAAGTGCCACCTCCTGGTGCTCGCCCCCCACCCCAGCCCACCCCCCCCAAGCAAATGCGCAAAACAACTCATGGGGTTCCACAAAGGCGAGAGCTGGGGCTGCGGGAGGCTGGGCCTGGGTTCCATTAGCGCGTCCAAACCGAGGCGGGAGGCGAGAGGAAGGAGAACGTAACGGAGAAAGCTGAAAATAGTAAGTCCACCCTAACTCTGCTCACGTCCAGACGACTCTGGGGCATTCGGAGAGAGGCAGGTGCTCAGCTGTCCTCGGCTCAGGGACCGTCAAAGGCTGCTTTGTCTTTTAGGAAGGTGGCTTAGCCCAGCGCCTGGCGGGCAGCAAGCAGCTCAACTACCCCCGGGGCCCTGCTGTGCAGGAGGAGATACCGCCTCTGGCCGGTGGGGGAGCTGCGTTCCCCTGGCCGGGTCACTTCTCTGGGGTGGCCATTGAGCATCACTTCCCCAGCAGAGGGGGGGAGCTGGAGAGGGGGCTCCCAGGGAGCCCTCGGCCCTGCTGCGAGCTTGGTGGGGGGCGGGCTCAGCCGAGGTCTTACGTGGAGTGAGAGCGGGCGCCGGGGGCCTGCTCCCACATCCTCCTGGGAAACGGCCGGTGGGAGAGGTTGGGTCGGTCTCCCCTGGGGACCAGGTTGCTTGAAGGGCTCTGGATGCTGAGGCCCGGGGGGTGGGAGGGCCTGTTGCAGGCCTCATGGGGAGAACGTGGGTCTGTTAGGTCCTGATCCCCGCGCTGTCCATCCCGCCACACCTGGGCTTCGGAATGGGGCCGCGCGGACTCTCCTGCGGCAGGTGGTTGTCCCGTGGCCTCCTCCTCCCTCTGTGCCTCCCTCTTTCACCAAAAAGCCAGTGGGGGCTGTGAAACCCGAGGGCCAGGGTGCCCCTGAAACTCGTCTAGGACATCTGCAGGAAGGCCAGCCCACAGCGCGCCTCGGCAGCTTGGCACCTGAGGCCAAGGATGTGCGCGGGAGCGGGAGGGTGGGGTGCCCCTCCCCCCTCCATTCTGGAACTGAATCCTTGGTCTGCGAGATCGCCAGGGAGGGCTTGCGCTATGGTCGGGGCCCGTGGCATCGCGGCTGAGGCCCAGGGAGGGGGCCAGGGCCGGGCCTCACAGCCAGCGATGGCCAAGTTGCCGGGGCTGAGACGGAGGCCACTTCCCCTGCAGCTTTGCTGGACGGCAGCTTCAGCGTCAGGAGCCTGGCGTTGAGGCCCCAGAGCCCTGCCTTGCCCTGCGGACTGACGCCTGGGAGCCCACCTGTGCCCGCCTGCCTTCGAGCCCAGGCCCTGCGACCCCTACCCCAGGGGGCCACCCTGTGCTCACTGGGCGCTACCCCTGCAGTGAGCCGCGGAGCTCCCGGGCCGGCCCCCGTGGGGACAGGGAGGCGCGGAGGGCCGGGCCGAGCCCTGGTCCTGGCCCGGGGCCAGGCCGGCGCGTCCCGGGGGCCCCACCATGGTCTGGGGGCCCGGCGGGCGGGCGGGGCCGCTCAGACGTCGGTGCTGACACTGCGGCTCCGGGAGAAGGCCTCCCGCATGGCCGAGAGGCGGTTGGGGTTGAGCGCCTGCAGGCCCCCGAAGCCCCCGGGCGGCGGCTCCGCGTCCTCCCGGCTGGCGCTCTGGCAGGCCACGCGCTCGCCGCCGTTGCGCACCTCCTCGTCCTCCGGCTCCTGCAGGAAGAAGGCGGGCGGCTCGTAGTGGGAGCAGCTGCGGCAGAGGGTGCGGGCCTGCGGGGTCTTCTGGCTGAAGGAGGTGGAGGCGGCTGGGTAGAGCGCCGGCCCGTTGGTGAGCACCAGGCTGCGGCCGCAGGGCAGCGGGGGCGGGTTCGAGTGCACGGCGAAGTCAGGCTCCTCCTCGTCCTCCTCCGAGTCTTCCTTGCAGCAGTAGTACTGCGGGCAGAGGGCTGGTGACCCCCGGCCCCCGCCACCCTCCCACCCTGCGGCCAGCCCCCCCCCCCCCCCCCCCACTGCAGCGAGGGACCGGCTGGTTCGTCCCCACAGTGATGGGAGGCAGGTGCGTGGTGCAGGCAGGGAAACCGAGGCACAGAAGGGCCAGGCAGGCTGAAGATGGGCGCTGGGCTGTGCTGCCTTGGCCTGCACTGATGGCTTCCCCTGCTCTCAGGGAGACCTTGGGGGGCACTCGGAGGGCCCTACGGTGTCAGTGGGGAGGGGAGAGCCCAGGGGGCGAGAAGCGAGGCCCAGACGCTCGCTCCTGCTCTCTCGCTTGGCAGCTGGGTGTGCCGTTGGCCAGGTCCCTTACCCTCCCTGAGCCTCAGCGGCCTCCCCTTGCGGGGGCTTTGGGAAGCCCTGGGAGAGGTGAGCTGGGTGCCCCTCATTGCTGAGCTACTGCAGGTGGGACCCAGAGCCGGGCTGTCTGCTCTGCACCTTCTCCCTTCCCCTCTTCCGGGGCCCCAGCCCCCCTCGCCCTCCCCCCGCACCCGGGGTACCTGGAGCCGGCAGTAGCACAGAACAGCGATGATACAGAGCAGGATCACAGTCGCCAAGATGCCCCCAGTGATGACCACCGTCCCGGCTGTCATCCGCCCCCTTCTCCATCAACAGCCTGTAACACACACCACCGGGCTGACTGCAGCGCTGCCTCCTCGTTGCAAGAGCAGCCCCTTCTAGTTTAGGAAGTTGAGGAAATGGCCCAAAGGGGAAGCTAAAACCCCCAGGGCATGCGCGCAGGAGGTGGGGGCCGGGGCCGTCCCTCCCTCTCCCGGCCCTGGGTCCCACGTCTGGACAGGGTGACGCTGACAGCACGCCCCCCCCCGGCTCGCGGGGGCTCCCGCGAAGGTTCCTGAGCGCACATTTCAGCCCTGAGCGTAGCACGCTTTGAGGGAATGGCGCCCTTCCAGGCTGGCTCTCCAGGCTCACGCATTTCTAAATTCACCCAAACACAGTCAAGCGAAGCATATGGTTTTGTAACCGAACAAGATCGTCCTTATTTTTCCAGATCATGACATCTCTTTCCGCGACATCGTTTCTAACCACGTCCCGCTGTACGACATAGCCCACCTGTTTCCCTTTAAGATTTTCGGTTGTGGTAAAACACATAGAACACGAAGTTCGCCATCACGACCGTTTTCAAATGTGCACTCCAGTGGCGTTAATACCCGAGGCTGGTGCGCAGCCAGAGTCTCCAGAACACTGACATCTTTCACAACTGAAAGCCAGTCCTTTTTTTTCTTTCTTTTTTGATATTTAGGTTGTTTACATTAAAGAAGTATTTTAAGCGGATGTTTTTGTAAGTGTTTTTGCAGCTAAGTGACTGGAGCCGTCTGAGCTACGTGGGCTCCAACGGCTCTTTCAGAAATTCCTAGAAGGGGGATTCCTGGGCCGAAGGACGGGCCCATTGTAGACTCATCACGGAACGTGTCACACGAAGGCAGAGAGAACCAGTGCGCGTTGCCGGCCGCACTGCTGTTAGCTTTTCCGTGCACCCGGGCGCTGTGAAACCCAGCCTAGAAGAAAAGCGCCGGGCCTCGTGGCATCTTCTGACGTCTTCCCGGTGGCCCGATTCGAGTCACGAAGGTTTAACACCCGGCTCACAAAATTCCTGGATGCCTGACGATAGCCTCCTGTGGGCCCGTCGCCGCAGGCTTCTTCTGCCTCAGTTTCCCATCCCTGTTTTCTTCTGCAGGGGGATGGTGGGGGTGGGGGGAATTAAGCCTATTAAGGAAATCCGAGAGCGTATCAGTTTACTCATAAATCCTTCAGCGCGAAATCTGACAGATGAAGACTTAAGAAAAACACCCAGTCTGTGTTCAGCCTCCTTCGCTCGGCTCCAAAATGTCTTTTTACAGCTGCTTTGTTCAAAGCAGGATCCAGTTGCGTTTGGCTCGTTTGACTCTAGAACAGTGCTGTTCCTTCTTCTCTCGCCCTATGCGCCCCGCCCAGCGTTGTTTATAGAAGAAACTGGGTCGCTTTTCTTAGTAGAATTTTCCGTGTCCTAGAGCTGGCTGGGCTTCCTCGGGTGCCATCGGACCCTCCGTCACTATTTTCTCTTCTAAACTGGCTTCCTATCAAGTCACTGTGGGGGGCTGAGAATCTGTTCACACTCTTGCCATCACGCTGAGATTAACTGGTGGGTTCAGCTCACGCTGAGATTAACCGGTGGGTTCAGCTGCTGTCAGTTCCCCACTGGCCCTAATTGATTTTCCAGTCTTTGGGGATTGTTACCCAGATCCATTATTTAATTAGGGGGCCGCAGACAGTGACTTTTTGAACACTACCGTGTCTCCTGCATTGAGTAGCTGCGTTCTTCTCTGAAGGAGTTTCCCTAGTACCTGCGTAGTTATCCTAAAATACAGTCTGCCGAAGAAAGGCACAAATGCTTAGTTCTTTGTCAATTTTCAGAAGAGGTGGGTACCCCATGAGGTTTGTGGTGGCTTTCTAGTATCACTGTGATCTCACTGACTTTCGTATATTTAAAAAAATTTTTTTAATGTTTATTTTTGAGAGAGAGAGAGAGAGACAGCATGTGAGTAGGGCAGGGGCAGAGAGAGAGGGAGACACAGAATCCGAAACAGGCTCCAGGCTCTGAGCTGTCAGCACAGAGCCCGACGCGGGGCTCGAACTCAGGAACCGTGAGATCATGACCTGAGCTGAAGTCGGTTGCTTAACCGCCTGAGCCACCCAGGCACCCCAGCATTTTGCTTTTAGGCATAAGATGTCCCAGCTCATCTGGCCCCTGGCGCCCGCTGTTCCTCTGCGGCAGCCTGGGTCCCTTAGTGGGAAGCGGTTTGTAGAGAACATAATCTGAGCACTAGGGATGCTAGCTGTTCTGGGTTTTCATTGGTTCTAGGCTTTTTCAGACACCAGAGCTAGGGAATACGTTCTTTTCTCTTCAGGGAAAGAAAAATAAAACGTGAGTTTATATTGACTTTATTCCTTTTCCCCTATTATATAGAATAATTGAAAACTAATGGTACCAATATGTTTACGAACACGTCTACTGAATGGAACACGATATCTATTATTCTCCTTTTGTTCTTACCCCTCGGGGGTGGATACTAACAAGACTATGTCAAAGTCACTTGAAATAACTCTTAGTGTGGGTTTTCCATCCACTTGATGCTCAGGGTCATTTATTCCAGTGAGTTCTTCCCTTTTTAAAAAACTGATTTAATGCTGTGTTTTAATTGTAGAAAGCATTTGGTTCCAAAGTCAAAAGCATGACTTTTGCGTTCAGGAGGTTTCACTTCCTGGCGCTCCTCTGCTCTGCCCCAGAGAGAACAATTTTACTGGGTTCTGGGTTTATCTTCCTATTGTCTTTCTTTCTTTTTCTTTCTCTTTCTTTCTTTCTTTCTCTTTCTTTCTTTTCTTTCTTCTTTTTAATGTTTATTTTTGAGAGAGAAAGAGTGCGTGCGAGCCACAGAGGGACAGAGAGAGGGGGAGACACAGAATCTGAAGCAGCTCCAGGCTCTGAGCCATCAGCACAGAGCCCGACGTGGGGCTTGAACCCACAAACTGTGAGATCATGACCTGAGCCGGTCGGACGTCAAACAACTGAGCCACCCAGGCACCTCCCACCCCCGCCATTGTCTCTAAGAATATAAGGAAATATACCCTTCTTTCCTTCTCTTAAGCTAAAATGGCATTCTGTATATATTTCTGCGCTTTCCCCTGTTTCGCCTCGTGGTCTGTCACTACCTGTACACTCTGCTCCCCGGTCATGTGGAACATCCCCAGGGAGCCCTCTGGAGCCTTTTCACAGCCGCACTGTGCTCCATCGGGCGGGGAAGCCCCGCTGACTCAGTTCTGCGGGTGGGCATTTGCATCGCTTCCTACTTTTTGAGGTCACAGCAATGTGCAACGAGGGGTTTATGGTGTGCACGTTTCTAAAGGTTTTGGTAAACTTGCCAAAGACTCGCTGGAGTCTGGGCCCGTTTTCCCCCTTCCAGGAACGTGTGAGAAATGACATGGGATTTTCATTCGGAGACTCAAGATCTGAGCAGTCGGTATGTGGGGAACGAGGGGCTGTGCCCCTGCATGGGGCGCGGTGAGGCCAGCGGTGGTGTGCTTTCCCTGAGGACTCTGCAGCCCGGCTGGGAAGCGTCAAGGGCCCCGGGAGGGGTCTGCTTGGGCCCGAAGGCCAGCGCCCTGTCTACAGATGGAGGGCAGCACGGCCACGTATGGACACAGGGAGTCTCTTCCAGCAACGCTGTGCATCAGAGGCAAAGCTGGGATGGGAACCCGGACTCTGGACAGACAGACAGACAGAAAGGCAGATCTGCACAGACCCGAAGGGATCAGCAGCCGAGACAGATTTGCAGACAGCTCCAGATTCAGACAGAGGTGCAGACAGGCAGATGCAGACGGGGCCCGAGTCAGGAAGACACGGCGCAGGCCACACAGACAGACAAAGCAGGAGCCCCAGGGACCCCCGCATTCCCGGGCGCCCTGCCGGGCGGCTCCCACCCACCTTGGCCCCCAGGGCGGCCGAGGCCAGCTGGCCCTGCCAAGGGTGCAGGCCGACCTGGGGCCGGATCCAGGGAGCTGGGTGTGCAGGCGAGGCGGCTGGCGGCAGGGGTGGGGTGGGGGGGCTGAGGGGGGCGGCTGGGCAGGGGCCAGGCCTGCTGTCTAGATGTATTTCACGCTTTGCAAAGAGGTGAGGCAAAGCAAAGCAGGCAGCTGCTGGCCTCGCTCCCTTGCGCCCTTCCCTCCCTAGGGGCCCATGGGATGCCACGGCTCCCCCAGCCTTCGCCTGACGCGGCCAGGAGGTGGCAGCGGACTGGAGCCCTGGCAGCCCCCCCCAAGTGTGCATGGCGCCAGCCATGGGAGGGCAGAGCGGGCACTGGGACCCTGACTCTGCAGACCAGGCAGTGGGGTCCCAGAAGAGCAGGGCTGCTCCCCGCAATCTAGCTAAACCCCAGCGCCCCGTGGGGCGGGCGGGTCGGTCCACGCACACCCTTCTGGCAAACGGGTCCCACTGCAGCCGAAGCCCTGCGTGCCTCACTGCCGGCCCGCTGGGATCCGGGACCTCCCAGCCCCGGAGGGTGTCAGCCCGCTGTCCAGCCCGCACTTGTTAGGACACGTCCTCGGGTGTGGCGAGTCCCACATTTGAAGATGAGCAAACCTAGGTGGGCAGAGGTCCGGGCACTAGCAGTTCTGGGGTCAGGCTCGAGGTCAGACCTGCCGCTGCCATCACACCTTGGAGCCGAAGCGCCCCGGTTCCCCCGACTGTACAGAGGCCTGCAGCCCACGGCATCTCTGACCACGGCGCCAGCCCTCCCCGCACCCCTCTCTGTGCCTGGCCCCCCGCTCTGCGACACTCTTCCCTTCTCCCGAGAAGTGGGCCCGGGACCCAGCACTGGCCAGTCCCTGCTGGTCCCCTGACCCGTGGTGTCGGCGCAGGCGCTCAGGCTGCAGCCCAAGGGGACAGCCGGATGCGCTGCTCCTTGGGGTGAGGGGTGAGGACACCCATGGGCAGAGCAGGCCAGGCTGCGACCCTGTGGGCAACGGGCTGCCGCTCCCCTCCCGTGGCTGCACGGTGACTCATTCTGTGTCACCTCAAACGGTAACTGTGTTCCTGCTTCATCAACGAGGGGACCTACTCAG